CACAAAATTGTCCTCAAATAAAGTGGACATAAAGTTATAGGAGAGACGAATATTACAAATACAATGGCATATAAAGTGTGATATACAAGGATTGGCTGTCATTTTCATTGCAATTAAATTAATGATTTGATTTGAAAGAGAAAAGTCGTTAACCATAAGGAAATATAATTGAAATTAATTGATGTCTCAATGTATGAGTGAATGACTGAATGACTTAATAATTGACGCGAATATTAGTGTTTGGTATTATTGAGAGACTAATAGTGAGTTATTTCTTGCAATTAAAACAAATTATAGTCTGAGTGTTAGATGTGTTGATAATTAACATAACTGTTTGTGCCGTCACTAACCAAATAAACAATTGGTTTCTATGGGACGGAAAAGCAATGCATTGGCAATGCATACAAAGTGTACGAGTATTACGAGTATAGCCTCTCGTCGAGAGTGTATTGTAATGTATTGTGTGTTGTGTTTGAGCAGAGAGTGAGACACAGTGTGTGAGAGACAGACATCACAACCATTGCAACCATAGCTCCGGATTTGTCTCAATATTGTCTTCATTGCCATTCATTAAAGTCTTTGTTTTTCATTTGTTTCTCTCATTTCATCGCATTTTAAGTTATTTTATTTATCGTTACTTTTTTTACCTAATCTTCAGTATTATTTTGAATGCAATGACAATCATATCATTTGTTTATTAATCACTTTTAATGAGTATTTTTTATTGTGATTTTATGATTCATTTTTGCATTAATTTTTGTATTAATCAACAAAACAATTGTCTGTGAAATGAGTGTTGCCTTCAAATCAATTATTAATGGTTTCAATGACTGATTGAATGGTTTCATGGATTTAAGTGATAAATGGATGGCAAACGGCGAAGACATGAATGACACGAACCAATTGAACGCTACTAATGACAACACGACTATCGGATCAGTTGGAAGTATCACAAGTATTGGTCCCAAAAAGATCATTAGAAATCTGGCCCTCAAGAGAATCAAAGAAGTGATTCCTCTGGAGAATAAGGTAAACGTGCCGTCGATTAGCAATCATAATGTCATGTCTTGTTGAGGCGTTTTGCGCTACTTTTGCCACAATTTCTCGACATTAGTCTTAAAATGTTTGCAATGTTTGTTAGCATTGGTTTGAATTGAAAGCCATTTCACTGACATTTAGTTGACTTGATTTTGAGTGATAGTTATGTGAAGAGCTATTGAATGACTCTTAGATACTATACTGTAGTCATAAATGTGGGCATAAATTGAAGGATGAGGTGATGTCTTGATGGACACAACGACCCCATACTTACCACAAAAGTCTCAAATTTGACGTCAAGTCGAGTCCACAGCACTAGTACTCAGTCTTCTCACACTTTTATCATCCGTTAAATCAATTTTTCTCACATTAGAGTCCATTCACTCCATCCGTGCCTTTAATTCAATCACCAGAAAAAAGTTATTAAATATTAATTAAAATTTTATTTTAATTTCGTAATCAGTTGTACAGAAAGTAGAGAAATGGAAAATATATGAGTTATTTATTTAAATATATTTTTGAAAGTTATGTTTTGATTATAAAAAATAGCATTTCATACACAATACATGAAATATAGTGTATATCTGTGTAATGTATGTATGAAATGATAGTTTAATAAAATAGCAGTGGTGTTGGGTTAGCCCGAGGCATATGTGGTAACTTTAAAGGGATAGCGAAGTGGTTTGTGTTGTTTTACATTACATTTTATACCAGTTTTGCAAAAGTTTGCAAATATTTATAAAATTCTTGCCAAAGAATTAAAGTGTTGTCTGAAGTGAGTGTCTGTATAATGCAATCATTGAATGGATGCATAACCTGATGCCAGCAGTGGCTGCATATCATGTTTAGCGTGGCGTTCGTACTCTTGTCGAACCCAATGTTTAATCATATCAATAGTGCCTTTCATATCAATTATCAATTATCCCGATCCTTATCATCACTGACTGTCAATACATTGCAATCCATTGCCAGTAATTCATTGTAATCTTTTGGCACTTGTTTCCCACATTTAGCCGTCATTTAGTGTTTCTATTTTATTATATAATTAATGGAAATTTTAAGCACTAATTTGGTCGACAATAAGGTATGATATTTTGACATAAAATATTGTATTTATAATTGTAGTAATTTTGTCTATAAATATATTGAATTATTAATATAGTCGATGAATAAGCGAATATTCACAGTAATCGCTGATAATATTATTTACATTGTTATGATTAACAGAATATTTAAGTTGTATATTCATAACGATAACGATTTAATAAAAGCATTTGCCAAATGATTGCCAAATCTTGTAGTTTTCAATTTGAATTTGAATACATTTAAACGTTTTGTCAATTTATTAATTTATCGATTAATAATAGCATTTATAGTTAAATCAGTCCTTATTTGGATTAATGTATTCAAAATGATTGAGTGAATAGAGATTTAATGTAAATTTAAACAGTTTATTATTTCAATGTCGATTTGACTCGTTTTAATGAACATAGTTTTGTAGGTGTTTTGAGATATAGTTTACATTTAGTTTTTGTTTGTTTTATTTTTATTAATTAAATAAATAGAAAGTATTTTTATTACATTCACTATAAATATTGATATTAATATCAAAGACTGTTTGGATATAAATATTAGATAATGTCAGTTGAAATGAAACTCACAAAATAGGTTATCGTAGGCCTACTATCATTGAAATATTTATTTATTCTGTTTTTTATTCTGTATAACTAATGGTAATATTATAACCTATTTATGCTAAATATTTTAAAACTATAAATTCGTTTCGTATGAATTAAACTCCAATTAATATTTGGCGTAAAATAATTGCTGAAATATTGCATTTTGTTTTGAAAACACCTGTTGTTGTGTTGTTATCGGTTGTGTAATACTAATGAAAGACTTAATAAATAACAATTGATAAGATTTTCTCCTAAATGATGAGATTTTTTATTATAATTTTTATCTTTTTCTTTTGTTTATTTAAAACGAAAATATTTATATTTAAAGGAATCAAAACATTTTATTTTGAATACTTTATAAAACATTTTGTTGTTTATAAAAACGTGAATGTATGTGAAAATATTTCATAGAATTGCATTTTTATACATACTTTATATGGTGTTTATATAAAGTTGTCTACTATTATGGCAATCATTTTTATTAATATGATTTTCTATGAAAATAAATCATAAAAGTTTTAATCTAGAATTTTACACATGTATTGGAAAATCAAATCAAAATGAACTCATTGTTTGATCTGAAATCACAATCTTGTATGTCATTCACAACTCATGTCAGAACCAAATTTATGGCAAACACTTATCATAAAAGGATTAAATGAATTATTAGTTTATTATTTTCCTTCGACTCCTTAAACTCATAAATTAGCACAAAATCACTCAATCAGTCGTGAAGAGAAAAACGCAAAAACAATACAAACATAACTTATATTTGCAATAAAAACAATGCATTGAATGTTTCGTGATTATGATATACAGGTAAAGCTCGACCGAGTTCTCGGACTCACCGTTTCAAGCAATGCATCCCTTGATTGCGATCCATCCACTAATTGTATAGTATATCCGGCCGGGTATGTAATCATCCACTTATCCCTAACTATCTTAACCATAATCAATGTTCTTTTTTGGTTACACTCAATTGAAAGCTTTGATATATTTTAATGTACTATCGAATTGCTATTTAAGTTTTCCTTTGTATGTAATGCTATACTTGTTTTTATACTTTAAAAAACAATTCTATAATATCTTATTATTTATAATATAACTTAAATAACTTCTCTGTCGCTCTCTTACCAGCAGTTCGTTTGCCTTTTATTAAAAAAATTTAATATTGAGAAAAAATAAATATTTATCTTTAACATTCATTTACTAAATCTGATTATTATATAAATAAATAAACAGTTGAATTATATTTATTTAAACAGATGTGTGTTAGTTGTTTATAACATCCGCCGAAATAAGCAAATTCATACAATCAATACCTCTAAAAAGCCTATAACTGCTGCAAAGTTTTCAAATGATGGCAAATATATCGTCACCGGAGAGGTATACATGAAAAATGTTAATTCAGTTATAGTTTACTTGACACCAATTATTGTGTGATTAGTGCGGACATCAGCCACACGTGCGGGTTTGGGACGCCTCCACCTGCGAACAAGTGGCCGCATTTGCCGGACATAAATTTGGCATCAATTGTGTGGTCAGTATTAATGAGAATACGTTTGTGATTGTGAATTGAAATACTGACGGCTATGTGATTGTCAACAGGCGTTCTCTCCAAACAACAAATATGTGGTGTCTGTGGGTTCCCAACACGACATGATTGTCAATGTGTGGGACTGGAAGAATAATCTGAAGATTGCCTCCAATAAGGTGTCGAGTAAAGTGAAAGCACTATCTTTTGCGAGCAATGGTCAATATTTTGTAACTGTCGGCAACAGACACGTGAAATTCTGGTTCGTTTTTAGTTTGTTTTATTTTAAAACAATTGTTATGAATATCTGAAAATCTTTTATAGAAATATTTAAACCGTGTTTTTATAAAATAGTTAACAAATGATCTAATTGTTTGAATGGACAGGTATTTGGAGTATTCCAAGTCTTCGCGAAGCAAATTCGAGTCGTTGCCATTGATGGGCAGATCTGCCATTTTGGGCGATCAGCGCAATAACTACTTCTGTGATGTGTCGTGCGGTCGACCCAATATGTCTGACTCGACGTATGCCATCACCAAATCTGGTCTATTATGTGAATTCAACAGTAGAAGACTTCTCGACAAATGGGTTGAATTAAGAGTAAGTTTTAGTTTTGTATTTATTTTAAAATTTTGATCTTATATTAGGATTATTTTAATAAATATTTGCAATAATATTAAAACGCCTACAAATTTTTCATTACAAACAAACAAAAGTATTATTTGAATCTAGTTTTAATGCATGAAATTTGTTTGGTATTTATTTTCTTGAGTTTTGAGGTTAAAAACTAATTAACTAATGATTGCTGACATACCTGTCGATTTAGACAACGAGTGCCAATTGTATCAGTATTAGTGAACAGTTAATATGCGTGGGATGTGCTCAAGGAATTGTCAGGTGCTTTAACCCAAAGACACTGCACTTCGTATGCACTCTTCCGCGACCCCACTCTCTCGGCATTGACATCGCCAGAGGATTCACCAGAAAGTTTGTCCAAACATTTTGATTGTTTTAATTGAATGCTAATATGATATTTAAATTGATCTACAAATAGTGATTTGAACGCAAGCTCTTCGACAAACAGTAACGTGAAATATGCCGACACTATAGCTGTGTCTTTGGATGAAACCAATGAAGTGGTCACTTGTATTTACGGCGATAGAAGTATTTACTTCTGGACTATTTCTAAGTGAGTTCTACTTTATTGAATTTTTTTCTAAACATTTTCTAAAACATTTTTTGTTTTTCTTACAGTATGAAAAAGATAGGAAAATTGCATTCTTTTTTATACCATTCGAGTTGTATTTGGGCCGTTGAGGTAAAAATAAAATTATTTATAATTTTGTTTAATTAGATATGTTTTTTATTAACTACTGAAAAAGTCTTAAAGAAACAAATTAAATGTTTGATAATTTATTATTTTTAAAATGGTTATACTGTATAACTTATACACTACTTAGACAGCTATAATGAACTTGATCTCTAATTGATTGTTTGTGTGTTGTGTCAGACATTCCCCACTTTGCCGGACAGTGCCAAACAACTGCTGCCTTCGGGCACTTTCCTCACGTGTTCCTCTGACGATACGATTCGTATTTGGAATTTAGATGTTCTCAAAGGCTCTCAAGACTCTAATTATGTCTACAAAAGAAATATATTCAGCGCAGAGTTACTCAAGATTTTATATATGGATCCGGAGTTGACATACATTTGCGACGTTGACGTCAATCCCAATGAGAATAACGAGAAACAAGACACTACTTATGACGGCAAGAATGGCGTCCGATCCCTAAAGTTATCGCACGATGGCAAACATTTGGCCTCCGGTAAGTGTTGACCATTGGAAGTGTTGGAAATGTAATAATTATATGAATTATATATGAAAAGGCGATCGTTCGGGAAATATAAGAATATTTGATTTGGAACTACAGCAAGACTTATGCAAAATAGAAGCTCACGATTCGGAAGTGCTTTGTTTAGAGTATTCAGAAGAGCATAACTTCGGAGGAAAGTCACTGCTGGCCTCCGCCAGTCGGGACCGACTCATCCATATTTTTGATGTTAAACAACAGGTATTTTATTGGTTGCAGAATTCGAAACAATACTAAATCTTGTCAAATATTTTTAATACTTTTGTTTTTGTATAATAGTATTCATTTGTACAAACAATGGACGATCACTCGTCATCGATAACTGCCGTTAAGTTTGTTCGCAATAATGAACACAAGAATCTGCAAATGATTAGCTGTGGGGCCGACAAGTCTGTCATTTTTAGGAAAGGCGTTGGTATTAATGGACAGCCATTTAACTTTGTGAGAGAGCATCATATCGTTGGAAAGACTACTCTTTACGATATGGAAGTGGATGTCGAACAGAATTTTGCATTGACTGCATGTCAGGACCGCATGATTAGAGTATATGACGTGAAATCTGGGAAAAATACATCCAATTTTAAGGGTTCTCAAGGAGATGACGGAACGCTAATCAAAATAGCTCTCGACCCCAGCGGACAGTTTATTGCCACAAGTTGTGAGTATAATGTTATGATATTTATTGTGGAAATGTGAAAATAATGATGATTTGATAAATAATAGGTACCGATAAAAGCTTATATATTTATGACTATCAATCGGGAGAATGTTTGGCCGCAACCAGTGGTCACTCAGAATTGGTTACTGGACTCAAGTTTTCGCAAAACGGCAGGAATTTGATATCAGTTTCGGGCGACGGATGCGTTTTTATTTGGAAACTTCCCAATGAAATGGTTAACACAATTGCATCGAAACTCGGATTACCATCGGTTCCGTTGGTTGAAACCTCAAAAATAGAGACTCCGATCAAAACTCCTATCATTAATAACGATAACAACGAAGAGAACTCATTGAATGGCAACAACTCTTCATCGCTCTATCGTTTTAATCTCAAATCATTACCTCTTTGGGCGAAGAAGCAAATGGTAGAAGAGTTGAAGCGCGACCCCAATAGCAAGGAATCAGAGACATCAGCAAAGCCTGCAGTGCCCGCGAAGGGGCGTTGGGCTCAGCGAATGGAAAACAGTCAAAACCTAGTCGTGAAATCATATTTGACTGAAGACACTGTCATCCCTTACCCGACCGCCAAAACCCGGAACTCAAATGATTTTGAAACCGATAAAGATTTGAATATTAGGCCACAGAATGACAAAAATGGTGACTCACGCTATCGAACGACAGACTCTTCTTCTGCGAGTAGTTTCACCCGCGAAGACGAGGACGACATGAATACTACAGATAGCGATAATATGGGTTATTCTAATGACAAGATCTCGGGTTCGATGTTTAAAGTGAACGAATCTCCAGACAATCATCGAAACAGAAAGTCTAAAAGTACTTTAAAGCGTTATTCAGGCATTGGTGTCATGCCGTCTATAAGTGTTCCCAACTTTAACGAACTTCACAGCGACGAAGACGACGAGTCCAACACCACTGCTGGTGATAGTGATCGCAGCGCCAACATTAAGAACTCCATGTATATAAGCACTGAGAATTTGGATCGTATCGATCAGAGAGAGAAATATTTAAAGAGTGCTTTTGAGAATTTGGATAAATTAAATGACAGCCAATTATCGGATAAAACTATGAATGGATCCGATTCTCTGACACCCAATCGATCGAGTATTTCGTCGAAATATCATTCAAAAGCTCCTATTAGTAGCAATGGTTCGCCAAACGATGAAAGAGTAGGTAAAGTGAGCAATAATAGGACTCCATTGACTTCGAAGCCACCCATTACTAAACGAAGGGAAGAACTAACGAAAGCAATCAGTGAAGCGCGAAAGAAACTCCAAACGGTTAGACACATTGACTGCACTGTTTTGTGCACACATTTTGTACTTATTTGTCCATATCTTTGATGACGTTTAACAAGTTTTACTCTTTGCTAATATCTGTATTGTTTTTACATTAGTTGGGATGGAAGGGCTCGGCTTTGAGTAACTCTAAGAGTGTGGCAAATCTAAGAGACTATAACTATGAGCCAGAATTGAAAGATATGAATGGAAATGACGGTCAGTTTAGATTTAAATAATAAATTATGTTAAAATTATCAATAAGTTAAAAATATATTGTTTTATAGCTTCTGAAGCAATTCGTCGATCTATATCTCTAAGCGATCTATCATTTCCATCGGGACGAAAACGTTTGTCTAAATCTACGCTAAATTTGACGCAAAATAGTAATTATTCTTTTCGATTGTTGTCTTATTTATTAATATTTTGAATTGAATGCAAAGATTCTGCACCTCTTTGGGAGAAGAATCGGAACCAAAGCGATGGCATGTCTCGCAGCTCGAGTTCGAGTACATTAAATAAAATCGAAAGCATTAAATCGGGTTCTTTAAGGGGTAAAGGATTGTGGAGTAACAGCGCATCGCAGGCCTCTCTGCGCCCTAATCTCAATTCTGGGCGTTTGAGTGCTCCGCCGACTCCTATCAAAAAACCAATCGATTCTTATTCCAGTGGACACAGAGAGAGCTCTGACGACGAGTCCATGTCTTCGTCATCAGATGAGAAACCGTCGCGTTTTGCCCGACCTGTCACTCCTCCCAAACCCAATATTCTTAAACAGATTCGCAGATCTTCTACGAGTCAAACGATTCCGCAAATTAAAGAACCGACGACTCACTCGCATACCAGAAGTCGACGGCTTTGGAGTAATGATATGCGCTCTTCAAAGAGTGAATTCAATTTGTCAAACATTGGAAGAGAAACACCCGTTAAGTTGCGGAGCAATAGCTCGTCCTCTGGAAGTGGTTTGTGGGCGACGTCTCCTCTGCCTCTCATTCAAAATGAAAGACTTGATCTTTCGATGACAAACCCGTCAACTATTCCTCGTAAGCCATGACTTGGATTTGTAGTTATTGTCACTGTTTTTAACAAAATTATTTGTTTGCATTATTCGACAGTAACTCAAGAACTCTGTCAACTAGTGGTTAACGAAATGAATTCAATCTCGAAATACGCGCTCAGAATACTGGAGCGTTCAGTAGAGACCGGAAACGTAAATATGAGACATTTCTTAAGTGAAAACATATCGAAAACTTGTCAAAGTTTGCAACAATCCATTGGGACGACACCTCTCACACCGCGTGAAACACTGGTGTCGGCCACCAATCAATCCAACATTCCGTACAACGATTCCAATTATAGTCTTCCGCCGGAAAGTATGACACAAGCGATGACTTTATTACAGCAATACTCCGACAAATTGCTTAATTTAGTCGAACAGAGAATCACTAAAAAGGAGTGATTTCTCAATAATTTTGTAAAACATAACTAAAAAACACAATTTTTTAGTGCCTTTCCATTAGGACTTGCCTTTCATTAAGTTTGCCTTAAAATTCCGTTTTTAATTCCAATCATAGCATGAGTTTATTTAATTATAAAATACATTATAGATCTCTATTTTATGCTTCCATTTGTAACATACATACAATACAAAATGCATTCAATCCAATAATTATATAAATTTTATAGTATTATTATTACTTATATTTAAAAATTATTTATAATTACAAATTGTTTTTTATCGCAAATTTTTATTCAATTTTAAAAAATAAATAAAAATTTGATTTAAATTTGTTGCAAAACTCCCCCTAATATTAGTTTTTCGCATTGAGATAACGGCAAGAAATGCTGGCAAACAAATCAATCAACAATTAGTTCAAACAATAACTATTATAAGACATGAATGAGACGAACCATACTATCCTTTGTGAGCACAACACTCGTCCCGTCGTCTAACTCGAGGTCTCCGTACTCTGTATTACATCGAACCTAACAATTAAGACACTTATCAATGACTGAACTGATAATCATTTCGCTAATCCATGTCTCACTTGAATGTAAAGCCTTTTTGGGGGCTTTTGGTGTAAAGTCAAGTCAATTCCCTTTCCGTTATTCAATTTATTCATATAATCGGACAAATTGTTTGAATAACTCAAAAACCAAACCAATTCCGCTTCCGATAGATTTTTGGTGATGTCTTGAGGCAGAGCTGATCCCAATTGCCATCGAAGTCGCTTCAGTTTCTCCATACGATTATAACTGATTGTCATTAAACAAAATTTATAGCCTTTATTACTAGAGTTATGGATCAGTTACTGATAGGCCAGAAGACATCGCTTATTCCAGAGTAGAGCCGAGAATCTAATTTGTGTGGCAACTAATTGGTGCCGATATTCCTCTGAAGTCCTTTCAATCGTCGCTTCATTTGATTGACTTTTGGTTCAAAAATATTGAGTGAAAATAAGCGCAACTTTTGTTTGAGTGAAGACTTACACAAATTGTTGGATCTGTTGATTGAGTTCATTCATCTCATCCATCACTTTGTCCACCAATTCATCGCAATACGAAGGCATCGGATCCGTCGACTCACGCGACAGACTTTTGATCAGATCCACGGCTTTGTCGCCAAACATTTCGCACTATATTTATGTCAATCTCTCGTATATTTGACACAAATATTATGAAAACAAATATTTTTGAATACAATTTGATTGCAATTTGAATACAAAAATGATTTAACGATTGAATGAATGATTGAATTGAAAGTGAAATACAAAACAAAACACAGAAATGAGTGACAAATCAAATGCGCGCCAAAACATCAACACTTGTGTCAACACGTGTTAGGCTTTCACTCAATCGAAACAATTGTTTTCATTTTTATTGTTTTTTATTTGATTTTAGTTTTAGTTTTTAATTATATTTTTGATTCAATCGACCATTTGTTTGATCCAAAGACATGAACAGAGCGGACGAAATCAGGGATCAAATCAGACAAATGCGATATCTTATAGACGAGAAGAAACTGATCGATGATATGCTCCGTAAAGTGGATGACCAGAGGAATCGATTGCAATTGGAAGAGATGCAGATCCGCACCATTATATACAACACCAATCAATGTCCGTATTGTCACCACTTCTTCACCAATTGTCTCATTGTGTCACTCATTATCTCATTTATATTCAATAGCTTTGAACGAATCGCGCGAAGAGGAAGAGACCGGCGAAGAAGTGACGGCCAATGGAGTGAACGACGATAGCATTTATCTGAGTTGTGGTACTCCGAGCGGTGCCATCGAAGAGCCGATTATCAACTCGTTTTCGTTCAAAGAATTGCCGATCGGAGACAAAGAGCCCAAAGCTGTGGCCGAAACCATTGAACTCGATGTGAGTAAAGTACTGCTCCGTCTGGCCTGTGGTGGCGCTCAACACATCCCTATCATCGACAACAGTACCGAAGAAGAGGAAGAGGAGGACGACGACCAATAAATCAGTTCATACTTTTCATTATAGTCTCATTTTGTGATACAATTATTTGTAATTGTCTTAAAAGTAATTTAATTATTTGTTTGTTTTTATAGTGTTTTAATTTTAATGTTTCATTTCATATACAATCAGTCGCTTAGACCTCATAATTAGTAATTAACAATTACTCAGTAATTTAATTGAGTGATTGAATGCTTTTTTAACGTTTTTAATTTAATATTAATTTAATACATAATTTAATTTAAGTTAAACTTTTATTGAAATTTTAATCAATAATTTTGTACGAATTATAATTTAAAATATAAAGTAATTTAATAAAAACGAGTACTTTTAAATGAAGTGATTTAGTTATTAAATGAATTGAATTTAAATAACAATTATTATATAAACATTTTGATCAGTTAACGATCTATTTTTAGCCAACAATTTATAACTTTTATTGCTATCACTTGTTATGTTAACATTTCTATGTTTACCTTAATTGTTATAATTAAATGGTTTTCAAAGAAATAATTACTTAATACTGTATACAGTAATTATTTAAAGCCATTATAATTATTAGTGAACTTTAAAGAACTATACATTAAGTACAGTATTTGACATACATGTATTATCCAAATGTAACATTGATTTCATTACAAGTGCTGTTGGAGTGAAAGTTCTCAAAAACATATTCACACCAGTGTTTTATAATGTCATACAAACTTCTAAATCATTTCCTTAGTTTTGCCAATTATTTCCAGATATGTTAACATATAATAACAATAATCATAATAATACTGGAAAAGTTTATTGTTTATTAATTATAATAGCCTTCAAAATACCATAAAGTTAGATAAAAATTGGGTCAAACACGCAATTCTGTCTAATTATGCAATTGTGTGATAAAAACTTCACGAATTTTGCAAAAACTATATTAATTAAAAGTATTTAACAACAATTCAATCTAACGAAAGTAAAAAGATATTAAATATTTGTTTATCATTTCTATATACAGTATTCACGACTTTTACAATAGTGTTTCAAATTCTGTTTCTGAATCCTATTCTGTGCTATAAATTATAGTCAATAATCTCGTATAGAAGACAGGACTAAATCAAAGAATATGTCATCCAATCATAACTTCTATAGAATCTTAATAATAATTTCACGAATAATTTGTTAATGTTTTTGAAATACTGTATTAACAAAAACAAAATAACTTAACACAATTTTATTTTCAACATTAAAAGTTTTAATTTAAAACTCAACATTTTTTGAAATTACATGATTTTTACAGTTAAACTCATTTTAATATAATTTCATTGAAATTATCTGTTAGAGTTCATCGAATGCGTACATTTGATATGCTATATGACCTATACTGTAGTGGGCCTAAGAATTTGGCCACAAATTGGTAAAAGAAAGTAAAATTCTGTTATCTTTAAATGGTTGTCACGGGGGCGGAGGGGGCAGCGGGCGCTGCAAACGTTATTGGCGTATATTATATTTTTCGGAACCCTCTAAAAGAGATGTATCATTATTTAGATATAACTTTGTGATGCCAACTGGCCTGAGGTCTATGTAATTCTAAAGATCATTTTTAAATATTTTTTTTATTAATTCAAAATTTTTATAAATTTGAGACATAGATACTGTAACAGGAAATTTCCTTAATGAGTGTTAGGTGTGTGTAGTCGGAAGAATACACGGCACAGAACAGGACAATCGGGACGGCATTATTCGGGAGGGGAATGCATAAACATTTGAAACACTAATTCAAACGCTTCACTGAATGTTAGATATTTAGAAATGTAGTCAAAAACCGATTGCTTTGTAATTGTTGTTCATATGTAGTGATTGTAAGTGTCATTGAATCGGATTCTGTATTATGTGAACAGAAAATAGCCTCAAATAAAAATACGATATAAAAACCAGTTGTGACTCAAGTGACTAAACAATGAAATCATAGCTTTTATATACATTTTAGACAATAATTATTATTCCTATCAAATGTTTGGTAACACTTATAAACAGGTTTTGAGAAATTGTTTTTTCGAAAAGTTCGGTGTTTTTCGAAAATAGGGGACAAGAGATGTATTGATTTGTTTGCGAAGATATAATAAACAAACCAAAAGAGTAGGCATTTGAGAGATACCAGAGATGAAGAGGTCCTCCAAAAGAGCACCAAATGTGGGCCAATAGACCGAAACCACAGAGTCGTCTAAATAGGTATCAAACGCCTACCAGTGCTGAGCCGGTGCTCCACAGACACCACTACATAGGCTCACCAACTGTCCCATACATAACATACAGTACTAGAACTTAATGTGTGAAAATTGTGTCAACTTTAGAAATGTTTTATATGATTACTAATCATTGATTAGGTGTGATATGAATGTTAGTCAAATTGATTGTATGCTTAACGAGCGAATGGTAGGCTCGACAGGTGAGTAAATGTTTGAGTTGATGACAGTTGGTTAGACTACATGCGATCGGTTGCACTCGTATGACGTAATTATCCGCAGAATATGACTGAGAGATCGCGTCTACAACTGAGGCAATCGCCAGACTCTGTGTGTCTGTAATAGCATTGCATTCATTACTGTATGACTAATGCATACAAACTGTAAAACGAGTGAAAACGCGTTGAATTGAATGCAAGTGTTTTGAGCGAAGGTTTGAAGCTTTGAGTGAATTAACACATGAGTTGAGTATTGGACACAACGTTAACACCGATTCACGCTTTCATTCAAACCATTCAATACTCAAATCAAATCAAACACTCATTTATATCACATTTGAATCTCTCATCAAATCTTTATTTATATCACATTTGGTGTCAAACACTCTTCATATCTACACCTAAGCCATGGATCCGATGGATTTGGACTCCGGTAACGGACACATGACTTCATCACCACATTTACCACCCTTTCAAGAGGTGAGCGAAGAGTTGTCTCGGGAGGAGAGCGTCGAGCAAAGAGTGGCCACAAATGTCTCCCAACAGCTCATCAGCACTGCTTTCGATGAACAAAAGGCTGTCAAAGAATCTCACGAAGAATCTCATGATCTAATGCCACGAACTGAGGCCAGCGATCATCCATTTGGTGACCGACCGCTGGACGAGCCCTCACATCAAAACATTGAATTTCAAAGTGAACAACGATTTAGTGGTCATCCGATCCATCAGTATATCTATGACGAGGAGGAAGAAGACGAAGAAGAAGAAGATGAGGACGACCTCCACGTTAGCGCTCCGGCCATTGGGAAACATATTGACATCAATGAAGACATTTTCGGCCCGAATGTCACCTCAAATACTAGAGAGCATACTATGGATGACTTCATCAAAGAACCCATTGGTTCGGAAGCAACTCATGACGAGATTCTGTACCAGTTGTCGGACGACAACGTATTGACGGCCCAAAGCTATGGAATTGGAAGTGATTTGCGAATCGATTCCCATTCGGATCAGACTTTAAGTGATGCTTCTGTTTATCAACTCAATAATGAAGACCCCTTTTCGACGCCTCAGAAGCAAAAGTCAGACCACAAACAAACCGAAGAGAGTTTCGAGCGATTTGTCGACAAATGCGAACCCTTTGAGACAATTTCTACCGATTTTGACATCACTTCAAAGGATCCCAAGAATTCTTTATTGGATTTTGAACCTAATGTTTCGATGACAGGTTCAGGCGATGGGTTGGATGGGATGGACTCGCACTTCAAGCTGGAGTCGGTGCTGGAGTCAGACCACTCCCAAAGCGCTGAGCAGTTCGTAGAGATATCGGAGGACTCGTATGTAATGCCCTCTCGTGTTAAGCGCACAGACACTGAACAAGTCGTGAATGAATCACACATTTCGTCAACCAATAGAAGAAGTGATACAAACTCTGCTATAAGTACTGCTAATATTCATACTCTATATAACTATTACTTACTCTCAATTCAGTCCAACACTAATCTGTCTCCAAATTTAGACACTTTAGAGCCAACACTACAACCAAACACTCAACCCTTGGACTATACCAGTCCTCCCATCACTTCCACCACCGCTTACTCCCAACAACCACTCGAGACCATCGAAAGTGTTGATACCTTCGAGGAATCGCCGACTGAGCCCATCGTTACCAAACGCACCGTCGAAGAGATTGAATCAAAAGTTGAAACTACTTTCAAACCGCAAACTATGGCTAAACATGATAAAAGTGGTGGACACGCGGCCGCACCCGCAACCACTACAGCCACTGATGCCAACTGTCCGTTTGGCTCATGTAAGTCACGATGAATTCATACAATACTACAATACAATACAATTTATTAATTTGCAAAAAACATTTCTCAAACTTTTATACATTGTATTCAATTCTTTGTTTGACTCATTTTCTGGTCATTTGCTTTTTTGGTCAAAAACATAAAATTGTTATTTTATTATTTAATGTGTTTTTTGTTTCACATTTGTTTTGCAATGAATTAAAAGCAATTTTATTGAATAGTCTTTGAATCAAACAAAACATATTTAACATACGGTTTGAGTCAATGCCTGCATTAGGTTATCGATTGCGTAACACTTATTGGAGACACGTTTTAGACTTGAATTAAGACAACGTTGTTATCAATTGTACTGAATCTACATTAGCTTCAAGTCCTGAGCTATTAATACATTTTACGGAATTTATTATTTAAGAAAAGATGAGCTAATAATAGAGAAAATATCGAAATAATGATATATTAGGCACAAATTGAATGCATGCAAATATTTATTGATTGCTTTAAACATATGCTTAACTTTAATGTTTAATTTTCACTCATTATTAACCCCTTTAGTTGTAGTTAATTATAACTAGATATTATTTTTTGGATAAAATTAAGTCTAATTAATAGTCTAATCAATGCTATATTGCGTAACTTTAATCCTAACCTCAATGTATGTCCACATCTATAGGTGTCTGGTTTAGTGCAAATCATTTTAATCCCACGGGTAAGACATTTATTGCTTTAATCATATTCTGTGCTAATAATCTATAAATAGTCTAATAGTTGTGTTCAAAAGTTATATTTAAGTTGCTTTTATCGGCAATTGATTTAAAATAAGTGAATAACTCATGATTGCCAGCAATGCGTTTACAACGAGATGAGTAAATAAGAGAATCCAATAACCAATTATTTGAGAGTTACTAAACACTCGATACAATCAATTAATGTGATATTCAACTCATAAGCGTTCATCACTTGACTTGCATTGTATTGCATGCCATCCACTCCAGCATTACTGCAATGTTTTTCGTTTATTGTTTTATTGTTAAACATATCTATAATCTAAACATGAATTATCCATGAAATATAAATGAAATTAGTTTTTGTTTTGTTTAAATTCATTATTAATGAATGCAATAGTAATAACACTTAATTCACAGACACAACACATTTACATCGATTTATAAAGCGTTGACAATAGCAATAATTTTTGTTTGTTTTTATAAGAGATATTTTCGGATTCCTTCACATAATGTTTAAAACAATAGTAAATCGTTTTGAATCTGAGACACGAAATATTGGGGAAATGAAGTGTAAAAAGAAAAATTGATTTAATTATGAAAATGTAAATGAATGGTAATGTTTGGTATGGATTAGTATGGATTGGTTTGCAATTGTATGGGAATGTGTTGAATGTGTGATCACATGATAGTAGCAATTGATGCCTGTTTTGAACCAGTGGTGTCACGACGGGAGAGTTGGATGGATGACATGGGATTGTGGTATTGTATGGTATAGTGAGGTACAGCTGATGGTGTTGTCCTCCCTGTGTGTTGAGCTCTTCCACTTGAAGTGAATGTTTGGCGCCGTTTCTAACATCTCATAGACTTAACATTATAGCTGTTGAGGGGCTGTCAGACACTGGCTCTTCCCAACCCTTACCACTATTACCACTGCTTTGCGCCTGTATTTCAAGTTTTAGTTGATAGTCATTCGTCTAAATCATTGTCGTATTTATCCTCGTATTCAGTCATTTAGTAATAATTTGTGCAAATCTTAGATTATTTAACAAATACAGTGATTCTAGTATTAAATTGAGTCTACTATTGATGTGCGAATGTCTTCAGATATGGAATCAAATTCATTGACAGAAAAATCAGACAATAGATGGTATAATGTTATTGCCATCAAAGGTAACCAAAACACTGTTTTCTATATAATCTGACGCTAGACTCAAAACAATCGTTATGTAATGTGTCCTCACTTTGGATTCACTCCAACGATCTCTCACTCTATTCACTGCTTTGTTTCAAAACCATTATTTATTTCTATATTTATTTTAATCACTCATAAAATTATTTATATTTAACTAATTTTGTGCTTACGATTCAATTTAAACACAATTTAAAAATTGTCATTTGGTTTGCAATTCGTTTGCTTTTATCTACAACTTTCAAATTCAGTCAAATTTTTCCCAAACATTTGTAATTTCCTTTGTTTTATGTGTAGTTTTCCTATGATTTGCATTTTGCAAGTAATACACAGACTATGTTTCAAATATAGTTTCTTTCTTTAGAACCAGTTTTAATTAGATATTAAGTTATATTTAGCATTAAAAGTAGAGTTAATGCATCTTTTTATACACACATTTATCCCCAAAGCAGTCGCTAATGATTCATAAAAAATTTAAAACACAAAAAATTAATCTATAAATGAATTGTCTGAACGGAAAGGTTTTTTGTTGGTATAATAGGTCTAAAATTGAATGAATGAAATGGTATTGCTATTAGCGTTCAGCAGTTTGTATGCAAACATATAGCACTTGACTTGTTTTGGGTCTGAACTCTGTTTCTATCCATTTATCGAAGCGATCGATATTTGGTTTGTTTTTGTTGTGAAGGGCTTTCACTCAATACTATTGCAGAGTCTGAGTCCATAACAGACACTCTTTTTGCTCTATCATCTCATTTGAAGTCATTTCATAGATTCGCTTCATTTGTCAACTCATTTGTATATTTATTATTTAAATTAATATCTCATTACATCATTGAATAGCAATTATGAAATGTATTAATTTTAAATTCTATACAATGTATAAGTATTTAATGACTGAATTTCTAATGGATATGCTTTTCTACACCAGTGGCTGAGTTTGTCTACTGGAGAGACCCAAAGAAAAGTGGTGTTGTATTCGGCGCCGGACTCGCGATCCTTCTGTCTTTGACCGTGTTTTCGATAATCTCGGTCTTCGCCTACTCTTCGTTGGCCGCCCTCTCTGTCACCCTTTCGTTCAGAATTTATAAAAATATATTACAAGCCGTGCAGAAGACTAATGAAGGCCACCCTTTCAAGTGAGTCACCACTCAAACCAATTAATAAAAAGTAAATTAATTGTCTTTTTTATTGAACAGAGAGTATTTAGAGGTGGAAATAACGCCATCGAGTGAACGCATTCATCAGATCGTCGATTCCTTCCTCTCGCACTTCAATCGCACACTTATTAAACTTCGCAGCGTTTTCCTCGTGGAAGACATCATCGATTCACTCAAAGTAAATGATGTTTTGTTGTGTCAGTATTTGATTGTTATACTAATAATGTGTTGAATATTCAGTTCGTGGTGTTGTTCTGGTGTCTGACATACATCGGCTCGTGGTTTAATGGCTTGACACTCATAATATTGGCGTATTTGGGACTCTTCTCGTTACCTAAAGTCTATGAGATGAATAAGACTCAAATCGATCAGTATTTAAGTCTAGCCTCCACTCAAATCAATGACATTACCTCTAAGTATGACAAACATTGAATTCAAACGTTTTATCAATTATTAATTATTTTATTGATATTTGAATACAGAATCCGAGCTATGATTCCGTTTCCCGCGAAGAAAGATAAGGATAACTAAAGGATTCCTGAGAAGAGTCCTACGAGTTATACGAATTTATTTTAGAACTCAGTTTTGGGATAAAAGTAACAGAAATTAAGAATTTTAATGGAATTGCAATTCTACTCATTTTATTCAAATTTGTTTTTCAAAGTCATAATAATCACAATTCATTGAATTTTATAAGAATATTCTCGTAGTAATCGATACTATAAAATAATCTATTGTTTGAATGTATTGATTATATTCTAAACATTTACGGTATATATATATAAATATGATATTGGATTTGTGCACAAATCTTGCAACTAATTATCCCCTAATGTCACCAACACTTAGTCTTTCCGTCAGTTTTTATTTATAAAATGTGAGAATTAAAACACAGTTTCTCTATTGGTTTGATTGAAAATAACTTATTTTGAATTTTGTATAAACATTTTGTTGATTTTATAAACAATTTATAAGTTTTTGTGATGAAAATTCTGAAAAATGATATGAAAATATACTTACAGTATAAGTCTAACAAGTGATTGGAATTTTACAGAATTTGTCAAAATTATATTATTATTATTATTATTATAACCTATTGTATGTCATTTCCAACAATTTTTTTTAAATATTATTCTTTAATTTAACAGTTATTATAAAATACAAGAAATGATGTAAATTTGAATATAACTTATTAATTACTATTTATAACGCATTCGTAGTGTTAGTCTCTAAAGTCTGAGTACAATATTACGGTAATATAATTTGATTAGTTTTTAATGCTTTTAATTATTATTGATTGTAAAAATTATATATTTATATTTAAAATCAAGTTATTTCAGCGAATCTGTATAGCAGTGAATAATATTGTATTTATTATAAAAAACATTTTGTGATGTTTTCAGAATTTGATTTTAAGATCTGTTGATTCTTGTATTCATTAAGTTCTTAATTCTAATAAATTTACTTTTTTTTCAAAACATTGTATTTTTAATGCAGTTTTTATAGCCGTTCGTTTGGGACGCCGTTCACTAGTGTTGTGGTAAGAGTTGCCAATAATGTCATCAAATATATTGTCAGGATAATTAATTCAGTGTAACTAAACACCATTTACTGTGAACCTAAACTACAGCTTAGACCCGTAATTATAACCTAATTGACACGTGACTACTCTATATATTTTTCGCGCCAATACTTTATTCATATATGTTTGTACTATTCACATACTCTGATATAATCACATTTATATTGTAATCATGTATGGATATACCCATACTTTAACTTATAATATCGGTAATCTAGCCAGAATCGGTGATCCCGAGGTCGGACGGACACCTATTATACATCATTATAATCACATTAATAGACTTCATATACCATGCAAATATCGTGGTACCGCTATAAGCCGTTTACGAGTTATCTCATATGGCATTTACCGAGGGTCGGTAAAGAGCCCGCGGTGGCCAAACGCCACATACAATGTGGTCAAGTAGCACATCGATCTAAAGCTCATCTAAAGCCACATAACATATCTCAGTTTGAAGAAACTACATAATACCGTTTTCCCCGTTATTCGTGGGCTCATATAAGTGTACATAAGGATACCTTCAAGCCATTGTTCACTGGTATCGCCGATTTGATATGTATGCTAGGCCTGCACAGTATGTAACTACCTTTCCAGTAGAGTCAATCTATACATCTGGACAATAATATCGAACCGACATCAGTACATATTCCTACAATGGAGCATCAAACTATATTTACATACATTTCTATGGAAGTTCGGGAAGTTTCGGCCATTACGGCCAAACGCCACATACAATTTGGACAATTGATAAATCAATCGAAAGCTCTTATTAGACATCGAATGATATCAAAGAATTATGAATCTACATAATGTACTTTTCCTGTAATTAACGATTATTCATAATTACATCTTTACAAAAGTTTGAGAACAATTGGCCCTGAAGAACAAACGCCTGATTTGATCCTCGCGGATCAAATCCCATTCATAAGACCACTTCATACGGTAGATAATATCACAAGAACAGAGTGCTACATAGACTGTACTTTTCACAAATCATCATTATAATCATATCCTAATCATAATGCATACATTGTGCATTAACTCAATGTTATACAAGCTATTTCTTAACATAGATATACTTTAACTTTATATTCATGTAATTCAATGTATTAGTGCTGCTAAGCACAGTGTCAGTATTTGGCAATAGCGAAAGAGAGAGTCGTCAACACATAAACCCAATCTATACTTCCAGTCTTTAATACACTATATAGAGACCGATGTGTCATTCATAGAACCCTATCTAATAGAGAGAAGCGTGCATTACAGTCAATACCCATATCCCTAATCTAGTCTCTAGTCTTCATATAGAGACCGATACCTCATAAGGGAGGGAGAGTATTGATCACTCAGTTTAACACTATTAATGCTATGTGCAGTTCTTGTGCCCATATATGGACATAAATGAACCAAAAGCTGTTCTCTAACATTCTCTAACAGTTTTAACCAATAAGCGATGCACAACATCTCAATACATCAGCTCACCATAGCAATGTATGGACGAGTTCACTTAAAACACCTTTTGACTATGCTCAGATCTCAAAATACCTTTGGCTGTAAAAAATCTCTGACTTCTCTCGAATTGCTGCATAAAGCAAGAGAGAGAAATCACTTCTACTTGGAGTCAACTATACTCCGGTCGCAAATATTCTCTTCTCCTCTCTTCTCTAAAACTTCTCTCTGAAAGACTTTATCATTTCACTTCTCTATGCTAGACTTTTCCGTGACACCCTGTCACAGTTTACTTATAGATACTTTTCCGTGACACCCTGTCACAGTTTACTTATAGATACTTTTCCGTGACACCCTGTCACAGTTTA